TGTGTGGCTTGTCACTGGCTCCTTCGAGGCTTACTAAAGGACAGTCCTGACTGATCCTGAAACACATGTTCTAGAAATCTAAATTTGTTCTTCTCCTCCATTCCAAACTGACCTTGTGAGACACCACAGTCTTCCTCAGCTCCTGAAGCTCCTTCTCTCTCTCCTGGATCCTCTCCCGGTATTTCCTCTGTACCTCCACCAACTGCCTCTAGAATAAATAAATAAATAAATAAATAATCACATACGATAGATAGATAGATAGATAGATAGATAGATAGATAGATAGATAGCATGTGCACGTGACCAGGGGTGCCCAAAGTTTTGCATATGTCCCTTTAAGACTGATATATGTAAATGAGTTCTGTTCTGATTGGCTGCCCTGTGTTGTAAGCAGTTCAGGCTGGAAGCCCCCTTTATGACTTATGAACCTTTAAATGGTTCTTGTCTATGATGGAAACCCTGCTGTAAATGGTTCTATATTGCAGTAATAAGGGTTCCACTATTGTTACAAGTCAACATTTATTGGTACTATATATATATATATATATTTATATATTCTGACTATATATATATATATATATATATATATATGTCTGTTGTCGGAAGAAAACCTGTTTTTCAGTTTTTGACATAATTTGAAAATGCCAGCTGTCCATTACATTGTGTGTAAATTTCATGATGAATGGACCAAAAGAAACGGTCCAAAATAGCTTGGGAAAAAGTCTGGTTCCACTGACTTACATTAAAAGTAAAGTAGGTTTTTTCCTTCTCCTGTAAAGTTACCATTTTATCATTTTAGAGATATGAGGTTTTCTTCCAACAACAGCCACATAAGTTTCTACATATATGTATATATATATATATATATATATATATATGTATACATATATATATATATATGTATACATATATATAAAACCACGTTTGTTAAGGGTGTAGCGTACAGAGAGCTTTAGTCCTGTTGTATGTTGTGTAGTGCCACCCAGTTTATTCTCTGTTCTTATTTAAGCCACTGAATGTGTGATTTATTCACTGCTACTAAACTTTCGTTCTTACTAAATGAAACCTGCTATCATCAGGCAGGTAAGGCTGCGAGGGTGGGGTGCTGTTATCTTTGGGATTATCTCTTCTCTTGGATTTGAATAGGGGAGGGAGACGGGGGAGAATATTTGCATTCTTTCTTTTGTTTCCATTTCTCTTTTAGTTTCGTTTCATTTGGTTATTTCGTCCTCCTTCCTTTCATCCTCCTTCCGAAGTCTCCTGACCAACACTCCTAAAGTTTACTATTGTTTATCACATTGATAACTTTTGTTATTTCATTCTGAATGCTAATAAATGAAACAATGTAAATTTAAATATTATAAACTAGACACCAAAAAGGCATTTTTAGACGTATTATTCAATGCGGGACTTTATCAAAGGGCCCGTATCATGGAAAACCACATTTTTTCACTTTTCGGGGACAAAAGAATTTGAAGTAATATGACTCCAGTATGGTCCAGTATGACTATATATTTACATACACCCACCCATTCAGCCTATAGCAGTTTAGCCCCGCCCACTCACACTGAAGTTATAAAGAGTGTTTCAGCCCTGATTGCAAGATACATTTTATTACAGCTTCATTCTTAATGCCATACATTTTTTCATACTTCGTTTAGAATCACGTACAGCTCCGCTAATCATTCTGGGCACATCTTAAATGTTTTTTGGCTTTGCGGCTTCCTAGTAATTAAACCTGAAGGTGAAGGTGCGCAAGGCTAATTCGTCTAGATCAGAATGACTTTATACAATTTCAGCAACAAAATTGCTTTTTTTATTGAAAGTACTGAAAGTTTATGGCTTAGTCTGCACTTCAAAAGGCGAGGCTTACAGCAGAGTGAATGGGCGGAGTTCATTACTCTGACGTAGCAACAAGCTGCTTGTTAAGGAGCTATAATTTGGTGAAGGAACTGCGAACATTAAAACATATTAAACGCCGCGTTCACGGCCCAGTTTATTAATTTATCACTTTATTTATTTAACTGTTGTATAAAAGCAACAGAACACTCGAGGAGTGTGTTATTGCAAATAACATCATGGCTGTGATGATTTACAGCACTCGTTATTTTGCGATAACACACTCCCTCTCATGTTCTATTGCTTAATTAGAATTTATTTATCAAAAAAGCTCAAACCTGCTGCATCCAAAAATGTGTACTACCATACTAGACAGTATGTCAAAAATAAGACAACCTCCAATAGAAGTCCATTCATTAGTGCTGTATATGGGGTACAGTAGTTTAGTGGTTTTGGATGCAGCTATAAAAAGTGCTTCTGGTAGGAAAATAAACATACAAATATCGACGGCGCTCCATGTAGTGGGCTCCAAAACGTAAAAACAAGTGGATACTCTTCATTTAGTTAAAAAGCCTTTGGCTACGGATACAAAATCTTCCAATGTGTTTTGGCCTGAGCCTTCATGAAGGAGGTGACTGATATAGGCTTACGCCGAAACACACGTCTTCTTGAATGAAGTGTAGTGAAGTGTGCAAAATTTCTAAAGTGAATGAAAACATTGTAACATGTTCTTACCTGCTTCTCAGCTCTTTCTGCTGTAATTCGTACTGTATGATGCCCTCTGTGCTCATCCATGGTGCACAGCATGCAGATGCACTGCTGGTCAGTGCGACAGTAAACCTCCAGCAGCTTCTCATGCTGAGAGCAGATCTGCTCCTGGAGTCGTCTGGAAGCTCCAACCAGCTTGTGCTTCTTAAAGGCAGGAGATTCATAGTGAGGCTGCAGGTGAGTTTCACAGTAAGAGGCCAGACACACCAGACAGGACCTGACGGCTTTGTGTTTCTGTCCAGCGCAGAAATCACACTCCACATCTTCAGCAGGAGGAGCAGCGACAGATTTGAGAGCCGTCGTTATCTTCAGCTTCTCCATCATTTCAGCAATCATCACGTTCTTGTGTAGAACAGGTCTCAGGGGTGAAGGAGTGTCTGCACTGAGGGCAGCTGTAGGTTCCCTTCTGATCCTCCTGATCCCAGCAGCCTGTAATACAGTCCAGACAGAAACTGTGTCCACAGGCAGTAGTGACTGGATTATTCAGCACATCCAGACAGACTGGACAGCTGAACTGGTCCTGGTCCAGTGAACTGATACCGGACATTTTCACGCAGTTAGACACAGTGATAGAGTCAGTACAGCAGCAGTGCCAGCATGAAGTGAAATGAAGTTTCATTTTCTCTGAATTGAAGAGGACAGACCTGTTTCCTGGGTCTGTTTACGAGAGCTGTGTGCAAAACAGGTGTGTCTGACTAACGTCACTCATTTGCATTTAACCATTTATTTACTATGCTGTGAAAAGTATTTGCCCCCACCTCACACCGATCAGGCCTAACATTATGACCACCTCCTTGTTTCTATGCTCATTGTCCATTTTATCAGCTCCACTTACTGTATAGCAGCACTGCTGTGTCTGATCCACTCAGACCAGCGCAGCACACACTAACACACCACCACCACATCAGTGTTACTGCAGTGCTGAGAATGATCCACCACCCAAATAGTACCTGCTCTGTGAGGGTCCATGGGGGTCCTGACCACTGAAGAACAGCCTGAAAGGGGGCTAACAAAGTATGCAGAGGTGGCTGTGCGTAGTGGCCATGCGGAGAGGCTATCAGGAGGCGTTAGGCTCCCGGTAAGAAGACAAAGGACACACACTGTTGCTGTTGTGTGATTATTATGAGTGTAGATGTGTTACGTGTGCTGCTCTGCGCTGGGCAGTGTGGTGCGGTAGCTGGTGTCAGTGTTAGTGTCTACCATAGAGAGGAGGCCTATGGTTAGTAGTGACCTTCCCCGCCGCCCGGCCTGTGTTAGGTGACCGGTCTGCTGGGGTGAATAAAGAGCGCTTCCCACAGCAGAAATCATGGCCTCTCCTGCGTCTCCTTCTTCACTGAAACGCCACGATATGTTCACCCACGTTTACACACATTCATTCAGTCACCTATTTACAAATTCTTCTCTTAACTTATTAATGCATTCATTCACACACCCATTTCTTCATCTATCCATATCTTTTTATTCATTCATTCATACATCACTCCAACCATCCATCCATCTTTTCATTCATTCATGCATTCATTCATTCATACATCCAGCCCTTCATCCATCTTTTCATTCATTCATTCATTCATACATACATACATCACTCCAACTCTCCAGCCATCTTTTTATTCGTTCGTTCATTCATTCAATCAGCCCTCCAACCCTCCATCCATCTTTTCCTTCGTTCATTCATTCATTCATACATCCCTCCAACCCTCCATTCATCTCATCATCTATTCATTCATAGATCCCTCCAACCCTCAATCTATATTTTTATTCATTCATTCATTCATTCATTCATTCAGATCGCTCCAACCCTCCTTCCGTATTTTCATCCGTTCATTCATATATCCCTCCATCCATCTTTTCATTCATTTCATTTTCATTCATAGATCCCTCCAACCATCTATCCATCTTTTCATTCATTCTCATTCATTCATATAGCTTTCCAACCCTTCATCCATATGTTCACCCTTTCATTCATTCATTTATTCATTCTTATATCCCTCCAACCCTCCGTCCGTCTTTCACTGATGCATTTATTAGTTTATCCAGTCATCTATACACGTTCTTCAATGATTCAACCACTCATCCATTCATGTATCCATTTTTTCGTTGGTTTGTTTCTTTGTTCATTTATTAATCAGTTCTTTTATCCTTTTATAAACTCATTAATTAATAATTACCTGTTCTCATTCTCATATTCATCCATAGATTAATTCACGCATCTATATATTTGACCAATCATCAGTTCTCTTATTCCTTCAGTGATTCAGCCACCCATTCATTTGTTCGTTTGATCGTTCGTTCATTCCTTTATCCACCCATCCGCTCCATTCCGCATGCGTGTTACAGTTCCTGAACAGCAGGGGGCGCTGTGGGAGCTCTCAGCTGTCAGTGAGCGCAGAAGAAGAGTCTGTGGACGCAGATGGCGACCCCCGTGCTCCACGTGATGGTCGTGTTTGGCTCAGAGTTGAAGATGTTTTTCTGATTTTAGGCGCTTTTCTTTAAAACTGCAGACACTGAACCGGTGATCAACAGCTACGCGAAGGCGCTGCGCATGCGCAGATGTTTGTGTAGTATGTAAGAGCAGAGTCAGCACTGAAGAGCAGACATGAAGCCCAAAGCGCGCCTCAGAGCGAAACAGCAGAAAGACAAACTGCACAAGTTCATGATTTCAGTCAACAACTATGTGAAGAGCCAGGCAGGAAGCGAGGACACGGAGCGCTTCGAGCGGATGGGGGGATTCGTGAAGAAGAAAAGTCGTAAAGAGCTGCGCAGAGAGAAGAGGAAGGCGAAGAAAGCCAAGCTGAGGAACCGGGGAAACGCAGGGGACTCGGAGAGGTCCGAGGAGCCCGAGCTCTCCAAGAAGAAGACCCAGAGGTCCGAGGAGCCCGAGCTCTCCAAGAAGAAGACCCAGAGGTCCGAGGAGCCCGAGCTCTCCAAGAAGAAGACGCAGAGGTCCGAGGAGCCCGAGCTCTCCAAGAAGAAGAAGAAAAGTGCTCTGAAAGAAAGAGGAAGTGAACAAAGCAGAGCTCCAGAAAGCAGATCTGAGAGAGCTGCTGAGGAAAAGCCTAAGAGGAAGGTTCATTTTGATGACACGGTGCAGCAGCAGAGCAAGAAGGCCAAGCTGGACATGGCCAGGAGGAGAGCACTGCTGGAGGCCAACGAGGCTGAAGACAAAGAGATCAAGAAGCTGGAGAAGCGGCTCGGGACTCAACAAGAGGAAGAACAAGCGGAGTCTTCCTCAGTCCTTCATAAATGACGGGCTGGATTACATCCTGGGGATCCTGGAGCCTGGAGTGTCTGAGGCGCTGCTGGGGGATGAAGAGGAGAAGAGCGAGCTGGAGAGACTGGAGGAGCTTAGTGACAGTGAGGAGGAGGAGGAGGATGGCTCAGATGAAGAGCGTGCTGGTGCTGAAAGAGATGTGGAAGCTGAGGAAGCGGAGGAAGGAAACGAAGATGTGAACGAAGAAGAAGAGGATGATGATGATGATGATGAGATTGAGGACGAAGAGGAAGAGAAAGATGATGATGGTGATCAGGGGGAGGAGGAGGTAGATGATGAAGAAGAAGAAAAGGAAGATGTTCCAGAAGATGAGAGTGTGAATAGTGATGGAGAGGAAGGAACGTCTGAAGACAAGCCAACTGACAGCAAACAGCCGGCAAGTTCTTCTAAATTTAAAGGGGAATTTCTGTATAATTCAGTGTTTCAGGTGTAAACAGAGTCATTCAGAGTGGTTTGGTGTGAAATGGTTGATTGTAGATACTCAGATGTCTTTACAGTGGTGGTGATGAGAACCAGGGGTCACCATGACTACAACACATATAGTCATTTTATTTACTATCCAAAACCACCAGTGAACCTACACGAGTCTTCTGAGTGTTATATGGATTGTAGGTGATGGTAAAATAGTGGAAAATCTGGAAAATAAGTGTTTAAAATGTAGCTTTTCTTTGGGGACTATTTTGCCTCACAACGCCCTGCGTATATCCCTCCACCATGGAAGATGAATGGATTTTAACAATGTGTTTAAGCCCAAAACCTTCACAGAACTTTCATAAAACAAGGTCTCGGGCATCAGGCAGTCTAAACATAACCATTTAATGTAATAACTGTCTGTGAGGGGGCTTTTAGAGGTGGACGTCTGGTTCCTGTCACCACCACTGTGAACGATTCTGGCTTGGCTGGTTTAATTATTTTGAATTTTTTAAAAATTGGTGGAGTTCCCCTTTAATACAGGGGTCATTATTGGGGCACGGAGGGCAGGAGCTTCAGTCACTGCTCACCTGACTAGTGTTTCAGTAGGAACAGTGAATGATGTGAGCTCTGTGTTTGGGTCTATGTATTTTAATGCATTTCAACCATTTAATTAAGCAAAAAATTTAGAAAAATTGGTGGAATTCCCCTTTTATCTACATCTTGATCAGCGAAAACAGGTGGCAAAGATATAAAATCATACGCAATTTCATGATACATGATAAGGACCATGGTATTTGGTTTTTTCTGAGGCTTGGTAAGCTGAGACATTTTAAAAATGCTATCGAAATCTCTGAATACAGTGGTTTTCTTAAAGGTTCATGTACTGCACACACTAAATCCAGTTAAACAGGACTAATTATGCTCTCTTTTTAATGAGTTCCGCCGTTGGCGCTGATGAAACCCGCTCAAAAAGCATTTTGTGACGTAATGTGATGTAATTCATTTTGATGGTGATAAATATGGTCAAATTGTCCACCTCTAGATCCAGCATTGACCCTCTAGTATTCACAGTTTTGTCTTTGTGTAGGACAGCGTCTCCAGATGTTGCTGGCACTTACTGACACTTTCGCTGTCATGCACAACACCTGTCCTGCTAAAACTCAGCTACTGAAATTCAGAACTTTTACAGTACTCGCTGAATTACTTCCACACCACAGAAGAGTGAAAAACTCAATGGCTAATCGTACTGCGTAAATATAATGATAATAATAATAATAATAATAATAATAATAATAATTTAAGAGGGTATTTGTAGAAGGCCACTATCTGCAGATCTAAGATCACGTGCCGGAACGTAAACAGACAGACACTCTGTGATGTGAGTGGTGCTTTAAGGTCATTTAGAGCCTTAAAACTAGTAGCAGAACTTTAAAAGCTATTCTGAGTGATACAGGCAGGCAGTGCAGCTCTTTTAAAGCCGGACTGATCTGATCTCTCTGTGTTGTTTTTGTTAGGATGCTGATGCTTTTTGTACGAATTGTAAAGGATGTATTGTTTTCTTAGGAGGCCCAGTAAGAAGATCATTACAGTGATCAACTCTGCTGTAACAAACGCATGAACAAGTTTCTCTGCGTCGCTCTGAGAGAGAAAAGGCTGAACTTTAGTGACATTTTTGAAATGATAAAAAGCCACTTTAGTGACTGTTTACATGCAGATAAAACAGAGCTCAGAGTCTAAGATCACACCCAGGTTTATACTGCAGGTTTGGTATATGAAGCTAAAGAACCAAGTTTCTCATAAAGCAGCTTTCTCTGAGTTTCTGTACGAACAATCAGTATTATCTTTTTTTCATGATTTAATTGTAAAATGTTTTGCAACCTCCACTGAGAAATATCTGACACACAGCTGGTCAGTCTGTCTACAGAGTCTTGATCACCAGACGGAATGGAAATGTATAATTGAGTGTCGTCAGCACAGCTATGAAAATGTATACTATGCTTCCTAATGACATCACATAGAGGGAGCATGTACAAAGAGAAAAGCAAAGGCCCCAAAACTGAACCTTGAGGGACTCCACAAGAAATGGCAAATCTTTCTGATGAATGATTTCCAAGTGAAACCATGAACTGCCTATTACTTAAATTTGATTTAAACCATTCTAAACCTGCCCGAGAGGCCAACTCAGCTTTCAAAACCCTGGATTAATTAAGTCTCATCTTTCGCAGTGACACTATTGTAGCCTATGAGGTTTATCCGAGGCGCGATTATTGATAGTTGAAAACTTTACCCAATGCCTCGCCGTGGCGACTTGAAATATAGTCAGCACTGGCAATTTTGGGGCAGTCATGGGCTGGAGGTTAGGGAGTCCTGTGTCTCACTGTACATTTTATATCAAAATTTGAAAAAAATTGAGAAACTTAATGCTAAAAACATGTATTTGCATTTTAACTCATTTTAAGAAATAATAATTATGCGTTTGTGTCCCAATATATGTGGAGCCCGTTTACTGTAACGTTTTCAGAATAGAAAAGAAAAAAAGCCAATAATTCTAAGGAAATCTTCAAGATTTCGAAGAGCATAGTGGAGGAGGAAGTAATTCCACTCAGGGTAAACAGACAATGCTTTTTCTAATAAAGTAGACAACAAATTATTCAAATTACATGATATAAGAATTGTTCATATTCTATAAATGCATTTATTTAAAACGGTGTATTTCCTCTTAGTTTGCTTTAGTCCAGTGTGTACTGTTCATGTTGTTAGTGTTAATTGTGTTGTCAGAGACCATGTTCTATTAATTGTTTCTGGTGTTTCCTTCATTTAGGATACAGACACGGTGGGTAAATACGTCCCGCCTCACCTCCGTGAAGCAGCGGACAGCAAGCGTAAAGCTGAGCTGGAGAGGCTGAAGCGGAACCTGAAAGGTCTAATAAACCGGTACGCCTTAATAAACCTGTGGAAACGTCAACGGCTGCGTTTTCCAGAAGCTTCATAGCTTATTTGATATGTGATGCCCACTGAATCTCATAGTAAGCATTGTGGCGTGTTGTGTAATTGTGATTTACGTTTATCAGGCAGCTGATGTTTTGTCTAATATAGGGTTTCTCCACCACTGGACCCTGAATCTACACCCAGGACTCCGTAGTGGACCGGTCACAACACCTTATGTTAGAAAACTTCAGTGGAAAACAATATTTAATGTAGTTCTAAGTGAAATTGTCAAGTGTTTTCAGAAGGTAACTGATATGAATAGAGAACGTCCTGTGGTGAAAGCAAGGCTTATCATAGCATCATCAGTTTGAGACGCTGTGGCTGCTGCTGTTGATAGAAACCAGAAACTGTTTACAGTTTACAGAGAACAAAAATGATTTTTCTGTGTTCAGTGTTATTAAAAATCTTTGATATCTTGGTTGAATTTAAATGGGAACTGCAATGTTTCACCCAGGGGTCAACAACCCAAACATAAAGAAGAGTTATTTTGTCCTTTCAACAAAAAGTTAACCGTCTTGGGAGCCACAACATTTAATATCCATTTTATTGAAGTAAGGTTTTAACTTCTTGGCTGAAAATGTCTTAACATGTTCTAATGTCCTAGTATAGATATAAAAATATAAACAAAAACGCAGACTTACTTTGCTTTAAGCTTTAGCTCAGCTATAGCCTTTAGCTTTTCTCGCATCTCCAGCAGGAAACTTCTCCAAAAGTAGAACAGTTTCGATTTTTACGAGGCTGAAGTCGCTTCTCATTCGCCAGCTTCTTGTTCGAATTCTCCCGTTCCACCTTAAATGGTGCCTGAGGTGCCAGAATGTAACTGCTGCACCATTTAAGGTGGAACGGGAGAATTCGAACAAGAAGCTGGCGAATGAGAAGCGACTTCAGCCTCGTGGCTTTTTAGTGTTTAGTCTCCAAATGATCAAGGTCCATCTTAAATCTCTCTCTGTTCCGTTTCGTTAGCTAATAGTTAGATGTGATTGTTGTCTGTGTTGCTATGGTGACCAGCAGTCTGTGCTGATCTTCAGGGTTAAAGGGTGAATTAGCAGTTCTACATTAACTCCAGAGTTTAAGACCATTTACTGTTAAAACTGTGTTGAACGATCAGCAGAGCTTTATTTACTGCAGAGGAGGATTATTTTATTTTTACCTACAAATCTAATTCTGCTGTGGAGCCACAACAGGACAGTAAAAGAGCCGCATGTGGCTCCGGAGCTTTTGTGCTGAAGTATTTAGTGTCAGATCTTAAGGCATAAAAAACAAGAAAACTTTATGAACCTTAGAGTTAGGAAATATGGAGAACGCCTAGTTTAAAGCATTGCATACAGTAGCCATCTGTGGGGTCAGTACCTTTGCTGAAGGCCTACACGAAGGTTTTGGCCAGCATAGATCATTCGTTCCTACTTTCTTGAGTCAGATGTTCCTACTTTTTGGTGATCACATGACTCTGAGTGTGGTTTGTGATTGGCAGGCTGAGTGAGCCCAACATGGGGTCCATCTGTGGGCAAATTGAAGAGATGTACATGAGCTGCAGCAGGAAGGACATGAACGACACGCTGACCGAACTTCTGCTGGCCGCCTGCGTCACACCTACTCTGATGCCTGACAGGTAAAGCACTGAACAGGTTGAAGTGATAGTTTGTCTAAAAATCTAATTTGCATCGTTTACCTTGAATGTGGTCGATTAAACACGTTTGGCGTCTGAATTTTGCTTCTTTAGTTTTGCGTTTGAGCCCTAAGAGGCTGATATAGCTAACAAGTGATAGAAGCTTCTAGGCCTCCAGTTAGCGTCATGTTTTGTATTGAAATTGTAGTTTTAAGGAGTGCAGTTTTCAAATCGCACAAGCTGCAGTTTGTATGTTATCCTGTATCAGTGGTCTCCGTATCTGGTCCTTGACCTGAGTTTAGTTCCTGTATCCAATAAGCTTCCCCTCTTACTGAACTCTAATACATCTGATCAGACAATCACGGACTTCGGAAGTGGTTGACTAGCTGGTGGTTGGAACCGGGCTCTGCAGGAAGGCAGCTCTCCAGGACTGGGGCTGGAGACCACTGTCCTATATTATCCACAGCATTGACTGAGCTTACATGCACTCAATAATCCGATAACTGCAGAAAATCAGATTTTGTCAGTAATCCGATCAACGCATTTACATGTACTTGGGTAATCAGATAAAGGGGAAACTCTGGGTCTACGTGAATCAGACAGTTATCAGACTTCGGCTTCGAAACCAGCCAATAAAGTCACAGAAAAAGACGTAACAAACGTAATGTAAAAATCAAACTTAATGCTGCAGCTTTTTTTTTTAAATCATCGCACCACTTTACCTGGAAATATGAACATGCATCATCTAGAAGATGACAAATATTTGAATCCTTCATGTCGTCAAACATGTAGTTGGTTTTAGCCTCACTTCAAAAGTGTTTTACTGTGTCTCAGCTCGCTTATTTCCGGTACCTCCGTTTATTTCCGGTACCGCCGCTGACTGAGAACTCTGAAAGAAATCAGAGTAAGAGTTTACAGCACTGAGAAATCTGATTACTGAGCTAAAATCCAGGCTCTGTTTATCGGATTTCTTCATCAGACCTTACTCCAGTCTAAGAAATCGTAGCATGCTGTTTACATGACCATTTGAATAATCAGATAACTGCAGAAATCTGATTATGATCAGATTATTGTGTGCATGTAAGCTCACTCACTGTCTTACATTTTAAGTTTAATCTAATAACACAGAGCTTGTGAACTGCTTGTAAATGATTCAGACCAATCAGAAGCCACACAACCACAGCTAACTGCCCAGCGTTCAAACCCAAAGCCAGAAAAAGTGGATATTCTGGTCTCCCTGGTTAAAATAACAGGCCTGGAGCTTAATTATTAGAACATAATCACAGTTTTAATCACAATATTGGTCAGATTACTTGCAATTGGATATTTTTCCCAAACTGTTCATCACACACTTACTTGTCAAGTTGTTAAGTAATCATTCTGGTGCACATTTATAGCAGTGGTCAGTGGACAGAGGTGTGTTGCGTTGCTAAAAAAGAAGTCACAGCCATCTTGAAGCCTTAATAAAATTTTTAATGCACAATAATTTATTTCAGAAATGTTACATCTGTTCTAATTCTAGAAAGTTTCCTACTATCTAGTTATTGTGTTATAACACAACAGCGTCCAGGTTGTAGGGCTGTTTTTGTCCTCCGTTGGTGATGCTTTACTGTCCTGTATTTGAATAAAGTGAGTGTTTGTCAGTATTAATAATGCTCCTTTTCTTCGTCAGGCTGCTGATGGAGCACGTCCTGTTACTGAGCGTCCTGCATCACACAGTCGGTCTGGAGGTACTTCATCCACATCACCCCCTACATCACCTACAGTCACACACGTCTGCACTGAGGACGTGGCTTAAGCAGCTGAACCGACTACTGAAGGCTGTAGCTGGTTTCGGTGTAGTTTGGCACTTCCTGTCAGACGTTTGGAGATTCTTTACCTTTTTAATTTTCAGAGAGTTTGACTTTCATAGCTGTTCCTGCTCACATACAGCAAAACACACTGATGAGAGCTTCAGAGTCATCAGCGCATTCAGAACACGTTTTAGGATAAAACAGAGGCGAACGCCGCCGAACACACACAGACAGGACGCCACTCTTCTTACTGTAATGCTGTCACCCTCCCCCTCTCTCCCTCCCTCCCTCTCTCTCCCTCCCTCTCTCCCTCCCCTCTCTCCCTCCCTCCCTCTCTCCCTCTCCCCCTTTCCCCCCTCCCTCCCTCCCTCACGCACCCTCTTCCTCTCTCCCTCCCTACCTCTCTCCCTCTATCCCCCTCCCTCTCTCTCTCCCTCTCCGTCTCTCCCTCCCTCTCCCCCCTCTTTCTCCCTCTCTCTCTCTCTCTTGCTCTCTCTCTTGCTCTCTCTCTGTCTCTCTCTCTCTCTCGCTCTCTCTGTGTGTCTGTCTCTCTCTCTCGCTCTGTGTCTCTCTCTTGCTTTCTCTGTCTCTTTTTGTCTTGCTCTTTCTCTCTCTTGCTCTCTCTCTTTTTGTCTTGTGCTTTCTCTCTCTCTCTCTCTCTCTCTCTGTCTCTCTCTTACTCTGTCTCTTTTTATCTTGTGCTCTCTCTCTCTCTCTCTGTCTGTCTTTGTCTTGCTCTCTCTCTCTCTCTCTCTCTCTCTGTCTCTCTCTCTCTGTCTCTCTCTTGCTCTGTCTCTTTTTGTCTTGTGCTCTCTCTCTCTCCCTCTGTCTGTCTTTGTCTTGCTGTCTCTCTCTCTCTCTCTCTCTCTCTCTGTCTTTGTCTTGCTCTCTCTCCCTCTCTCTCTCCCTCTCTCTCTCCCCCTCTCTCCCCCTCTCTCAGGTTGGAGCTCATTTCCTGGAGACGGTTGTGCGGCGTTTTGATGACTCGTACCTCCGGAGCTCTGAGGCGGGTAAAGAGAGTGAGAACCTGGCTCTGATGGTCGCTCATCTCTACAACTTCCACGTGGTTCACGCGCTCCTGCTGTTCGACCTGCTGAAGCGGCTGGTCTCCTCCTTCACGGCGCGCGACGTGGAGCTGGTGCTGCTGCTGCTGAAGAACGTGGGCTTCGCTCTGAGGAAGGACGACCCTCTGGCCCTGAAGGACCTGATCACCGAGGCCCAGCGCAAGGCCAGCACTGAGGGACAGCGCCTCAGTGACCAGACCAGGGTACGGACGAGTGGAGCGTCCTGCTGCTCTGTTATCTGAAACTTTTTGAGTCAGAGAGTTTTTCCTCACCACTCAGCTTGCTCAGTTGCAGTGGCAGTCGTGAGATACACTATACAAACATTAAATTAATTTATTTAAATTTATTTAAATTAATTAATAACTCACAGCTGGAGGGTTTGATTAGATTTAGAACTGTTAGACGGTATCCAAGTATATCGGTAGGGTTGGAGGTTAGGATCGGTTTTAGGGCCAGGGTGAGGGTTAGGATTAGGTTTTGGGTTGAAGTTAAGGTTAGGATTAGGGCCAAGGTTAGGGTTAGGTTTATGGTTGAGGTTAAGGTTAGGGTTGGGATTAGGGCCAGGGTGAGGGTTAGGATTAGGTTTACGGTTGAGGTTAAGGTTAGGATTGGTTTTAGGGCCAGGGTGAGGGTTAGAATTAGGTTTTGGGTTGAGGTTACGTTTAGGGTTGGGATTAGGGCCAGGGTGAGGATTAGGATTAGGGCCAGAATAAGGGTTAGGATTAAGTTAAATAAAGATATTTACTTCAGTGTATTCAGATGCTTCACTACTGCTACTTCACTGATATGTTGTTGATGTGTTGCTGATAATCTGTTAAGAGTTTATTGATCATCTATGAAGGACCACTCCAAATAAAGCGTTACTGTGTTTCCTCTCTCAGGTGCGGTTCATGTTGGAGACCATGTTGGCACTGAAGAACAATGACATGCGGAAGATTCCCGGTTACGACCCTGAACCTGTGGAGAGACTCAGGAAGCTGCAGCGAACTCTGGTAAAACCATCTGACCACTAGGGGGCATGGCACACTGGTTCTCCAGTAATCTTTTTCTCTCAGTAAACCAGTGGTAGACCCACGCTACGAACGCTATAGAGATGGCAAGCTTTCTTTTCCGATGCGGATGTTGAAACCTCGACTATCGTCAGATAACGATCAGATTTTACTTCTCTAAAAACGGCTAAGATTTAAAATGAGCTATTTTTAATTGACACACTTAAGGCCGGGACTACACTACACAACTTTTTGCCCGATTTTAATCCTGATTTGCCCCTTGCGGCAGTCACACAACACAGGACAGTAATAATACAGGCATATGTACAACTAGAAATATACAAAAATATGCCGTAAGATCTATCCTGAGATAAAAAAGCAGTGCAATAATGAATGTACAAGGAGGTGCAGGTAACAGCATATAATGACAATACTGAATAAATATGTGCAGATATTGGTAGTGAAATAAAGTGTCTAGGTGTGGAGTGTCCAGATGTGTAAGATGTGCGATAAGTAGTGTCCAGATGTGCGATAAAACAGAGAGCATCACATAAAACATAAAACAGTTTAGCCCTCCGTTTGGACTCTGAAGTGATCGGTGGCCCTCAGATATTATCAAATATGTTTCATATTTATGACTCAAAACATTCACGAGTCCTGCAGTGTGAGAAGGTCAGAGATTTACTCAGAGAGTGACATCAAACAGCAGCCAGTCAGAGAGCTAGAAGAGCGGAGAAACAGGCAGAGAGATGCACAGCAGACCGGAGACAGAGGAGCTGTGTGTAAAAGGCCGATAAGAGCCGCCATCATGTTTATAATGTTGATCCAGTCATCAGGTCACTCTCTCTACAATTTCAGCTCAGCTGCCAGTTTGTAGTGAAATATTTCTCCAGCTCTCACTGTGATATTAGTGTTTCTCACCACATATTAATCCCCAGTTTGCGCTTTCTGACTGGTGTCACCAGTACTCTCTAACCACCTCCACTTTTCCTGTTTTACATGATTTATTACTGTTATTGTCTGATTTTCATTACTTTATTTTTTATTTATTTGTTTATTGATTATTATTAATATTATTATTCTTATTTTAATTGATTATATTATTATTTTATTAATTTAATTAATTTTTTTATTCTATTTATTTATTTTGTATAATTTATTTTGATTCATTTTTAGTTTACTTTTTGATCTTATTCTCCTTTCATTTTATATTGATTTGATTTCCTTAACTTTCACATTTTAGCTACATTTTAATCTTTGTTTTATATTTTCTACTGTATTTTTATGTATGTTTATTATTAATGTTTAATTTTTTTATACGTACCTGACTTGAGTCATTTTTATTAAGTTTACTGTTATTATTTGATATGTTCTTAACATTATCAATCCCCTTTCCTGTATCAACTCAGCAACATTGTAAATGATGGTCACCCTCAGAATTCCCCGAGGGGAAATAAAGGTTGATTATTTGATTGATAAAAGCACAAACAGGTCCAGTGAGTTTAGCTTTGTTTGTTGTGTGATCTGAGGAGATCTGGGAGTTTGAGTTCTTATTCGGAGCCCAAACTCGTTAAGTGTGTTATACTGTCTCTTTGCCCTGTCGTCTAGTCTGAGCGCCCTGACGACAAAAAGACCAGAAATTCTCTGACAAGCTGACGTTAAGTTTGTGATGCTCTCTGTTTTAGAAATCTGTTAAGACTTTAAAAGTCGTGTAGTGAACGCCCGGCCTCAGAGCTGATCTGACAGTCGGCTATCATCCTGAAATCACTCTGTTAACCCCACAGGAAGAACTACAGAGCTAACAGCACCACATCACACAGTGTGAGTGAGCGCCGATACAGGATTGAATCACATTCTTTTTTCCCCCTCCTCAATCCCATCCTGCATTTTTATAAACATGAGCCTGATGTATTTGTAATATTGTGTGCAGTATCCCATCGTCCGGTCAGGTTAATGTAGTTCACTGTAGAAAAATCCATTTTATTCACGACATACGATATAAAATGACCATTGATAGTAAATAGAGGTGGAGCTGTTTTCTTTGGGGACTATTTTGCTTTACAACACATTGCGTTTACCTCTCCACCGTAAATGCATTGAAACGACAGGTTCGGTTTAGGCCACCACTTTATCTCAGACATCAGGCAGTGAATTCATAACCATTTCATGTAATAACTTTCTGGGCGAGCTTTTAGAGGTGGACGCCTGGTTCCTATCACCACCACTGTGTATAATTTAACACCAAACCACCCTGAGTGACTTTTGTAAACGTCTCAATTATATCATTATGCAGAATTTTTTCAAAAACAGTCGAATCCCCATTTGACAGTAACTGTGTGTTGTGCTTGCTGTGTTCTGAAGGTCCACCACCGAGCGAGTGGGACTGATTTGAAGCTCAGAGTGTCTCTGGAGAATCTTCTGGAAGCCGAACGGGTCGGTCGCTGGTGGATCGTGGGCTCGTCCTGGAGTGGGGCGCCTATGATCGGTGACCAAGGCAACAAGACGACCCCACAGCCCGCCAAAGGGGAACAGGTGAGGGAGGTGTTGATGACAAAATAAATATGCTGTTGGTAACCAGACAAAAACGCTAATAGAAGACAGTTTGAAGAGTAAAACACCCACATTGGTGATTAAAGTGTCGCCTTAAATTAATAATAGTAGTAATAAGAATACGAGGTTAAAGCAGGGGTGACCAAACCTGGTCCTGGAGAACTACAACCCTGGACATCGCAGATCCAACACACCCTGGCTCTCCTGGCTCTATTATTCAGAAGCCCCTGAAGGCCTTCATTACCTGGATCAGGTGTGATAGGAGCTAAACTCTGCAGGGTGCTAGATCTCCTGGGCCAGGATTGGGCACTAGTTGTATTATCTTATATACAAGTTTTATTAATCTAATGTCGTTCAATGCGTCTCATTGCTCTATTCACAAGTGTTTCGGATTTAAAAAAAAGCTATGCTTGCTTGAAATTTGCATGATTTCTTTGCAGAAATACAGTTTACCAATGAAACACCATAACTGTCTCTGGCCTGACTCCCAAAAGAATCACTGTTAGATTCATTTAGATTAAACAAGAATGTTCTCTAATAAATTCTACTAAATTCTCCAGTGATGTAACACAGTGATCTTTCTGAATTTAAATCCTCTCAGTTCAGTGCCAAAGTTCTGGAACTGGCACGTAAGCAGCGGATGAACACTGACATCAGGAGGAACATCTTCTGTGTGATCATGACCAGCGAGGACTATCTGGATGCCTTCGAGAAGCTTCTGAGGTTCGTGGGTTTGCTCTGCCTGCTGGTTTTGTTTGACTGGGAGATTCACTGACATGGAAATTTCAGCTAGATTAATATTTTCTGTTGTATTTGTCATTTTCTGTCTCAGACACTCAGAAGCACACAGACATACACAGACTGTCTGATGTAAACTGCACGCTGACCACAGCTCCCTGAATCTCACCTCTCACTGAAAATGTAAACTGGCTCTGGTTCTCTGTGCTTCCAGGCCAAAATACTGTGGAGATTAGCGTTTACCCTCATCTAGCGCTCTGAATTTAGTGCGTAAAGGCCTTGCTGATTAGCTGATGAGCTGAATCAGGTGTGTTTGATGAGGTAGCGTGTTATAGTCTGCAGTGTTTTATCAGTCTGTGTGAAAAAATCATTGTTTATCAAGCTAAATTCCAGTAGCAGACAGCTGCATCTCTATAGGTAGCCCATCTCTATAGGTAACCCATCTGTATAGGTAACCCGTCTCTATTGGTAGCCCATCTCTATAGGTAACCCATCTGTATAGGTAGCCCGTCTCTGTAGGTAACCCGTCTGTATAGGTAGCCCGTCTATATATAGGTAGCCCGTCTATATATAGGTAGCCCATCTCTATAGGTAACCCATCTCTATTGGTAGCCCATCTCTATAGGTAACCCATCTCTATAGGTAACCCATCTGTATAGGCAGCGCATCTCTATAGGTAACCCAGCTGTATAGGTAACCCATCTGTATAGGTAGCCCGTCTCTATAGGTAACCCGTCTGTATAGGTAGCCCGTCTATATATAGGTAGCCCATCTCTATAGGTAGCCCATCTCTATTGGTAGCCCATCTCTATAGGTAACCCATCTCTATAGGTAACCCATCTGTATAGGCAGCGCATCTCTATAGGTAACCCAGCTGTATAGGTAACCCATCTGTATAGGTAGCCCATCTGTATAGGTAACCCATCTCTATAGGTAGCCCATCTGTATAGGTAACCCATCTGTATAGGTAGCCCGTCTCTATAGGTAGCACGTCTATATAGGTAGCCCATCTCTATAGGTAGCCCATCACTATAGGTAGCCCATCTCTATTGGTAGCCCATCTCTATAGGTAACCCATCTCTATAGGTAACCCATCTGTATAGGTAACCCATCTCTATAGGTAGCCCATCTCTATAGGTAACCCATCTGTATAGGTAGCCCATCTCTATAGGTAACCCATCTGTATAGGTAGCCCATCTGTATAGGTAACCCATCTGTATAGGTAGCCCATCTCTATAGGTAGCCCATCTCTATAGGTAACCCATCTGTATAGGTAGCCCATCTCTATAGGTAACCCATCTCTATAGGTAGCCCATCTCTATAGGTAGCCCATCTCTATAGGTAGCCCATCTCTATAGGTAGTCCATCTCTATAGGTAACCCATCTGTATAGGAAACCCATCTCTATAGGTAACCCATCTCTATAGGTAATCCATCTCTATAGGTAACCCATCTGTATAGGTAGCCCATCTCTATAGGTAACCTATCTCTATAGGTTGCCCATCTCTATAGGTAGCCCATCATACTGTTATCCTAAACCATATTTGAACCTGTAGGTAGTCAGTTTGCAGGCTTTGCCAGTGGGTACTGTGGTTTATTTAACACTGGTAGATTTTTATTTGTAGGCATGTCACACTAAACGGTCTGTAATTAGATGTTGTTCCCTTTTCTGTTGTGGTTCTCAAAACCGCCCTAGCCTGGCTGATGTGCCTGTATCTCAGTACAGTCTTCTGCTGCTTACAGTGGGGTTGGTTTCACTTTGTGTAGTATTTTCAGGCTATTAAACTGCACTGTTCTTTGTGTTTAACAGAAAAACTGATTTCTGCTCTCTCCTCCAATCAGTTCATTGAAGTTTTTACCACCGCTGTGTTTCAGGCTGCTGCCCACAGCGCCTACTAGTGGATTTATTAGTCATATAGTCTATGCAACCCTGAAAGTTAATACAGCAGCTGCTGATGCAGACCGGTCACGCTGCTCTCTCTCTGTTTCTGGCTGAACAAATGAGAACTGAATTTTGCTAGATGGCAGCCAATCAGATGAAATGTGGCTCAGTAAGTGAGTGTCCTATGTTGTAGTTATGACTTCTTTTTTTTTTTTTGGAGCTGGAATGGGAGGATTGTTTTTCTTTAAATGGGTAATAATAAAAAATAAACCACAAAAAAAGAAACCATAGATACGCAGCTATTACTCACTCTTACGATCATGACTACTTTCGGTGTGCAGGCATGTAGTTGATGGTAAAGACAGAACATCACTGACTCTTCCGCAGACAGAATACATGATTTTAGTGATTTGTAAGTGTAGCACTACCCCCGGGCTCAAGGAGGACGCTGGAGGCAGGAGAAACATTTGCAGCAGCCGTAGTTTATTCACGCATCAAATAAACACAAAGCAAAGAAAACCAAATAACCAAAGCTATGCTGGCCACTTTTCAGTGGCTTAAGCTAGACTTTTCAGCTCCGTCCTCAGTCTTTTGTTGTTGCTGCTGCTCGTCCCTCTCTCGCTCTGTTCCCTCTCAGCTCTTTTTAAAAGGCGCTCACGCTGCCAGCCTGATCAGCACCCACTCGCGGCTCTCTCCCCGCCGTCCTCGCCGGAGTTCGTCGCCTCTTGGTGTTTGGGCCCCGCCTTCCGGCAGGCTCTCACAGCCACCATCGGGGCCCGGGGGGCGGGTGCACGCCACATTAAGCTTTTTAACTCCTGTAATGCACAGGCTGAAGCAGTATTTAAGGTAGTTATAGATGTCTGTGTATGTTATTATGGGCAATAATGCATAACCAGGACTCAAAGGTAACGTCTTGGTTTTGTACAGATCAACATCTCCAATCAAACTGATTTTCTCTTATCTTGATTCGGAAGCCTTAGCCAGCATTCACTGCTCACACAGGACGCTTCTTCTGGGTTTTGCGAATACTTTGTGTCCTCGATGCTCAGGAAAGCATATTGTGGTGTAATTTGTGATACTGGCCGGCCCTGGTCCAACGGGTCTGATAGCTTTTGTCTTTGTAAAAGCACACTACAGGTTTATGTTCAAACATGAAAATTCAGTCGTTCTTTTTTCTCTTCTTTCCTCCACCTCTGCTCTGCTCTGCTCTCCTCTCCTCTGCTCTGCTCTGCTCCGCTCCGCTCCTCCAGGCTGGGGCTGAAAGGTCAGCAGGAGCGCGATATTGTCCACGTGCTGCTGGACTGCTGTCTGCAGGAGAAGAACTTCAACGGCTTCTATGCAGTTTTAGCTGAGAAGTTCTGCGCACACGACCGGCGCTTCCAGGTAACGCAGGAGCAGCTTCCACCACTGGTGTTCTACATACTTAAAAATCATGGTTCTTCAAGTGTTCTTTAGTAAAGATAATAGTTCTACATAGAACCATGAGCACTCAAAGAACCCTTTGCATGATTAAAGCATCCTTTGCATTGTGAACTGGTTCTTCAGATTGATGGAGAATGTGCTGTATGTGGTTCTTACAGGCTTACCATTATAACAATAGAAAAGTTTTTTTGGTGCTAAAAAGAACCCTTTTCAAAACGGCTCTATATAGAACCATATACAGCTCATTCAGTATCAGGCCTGTAAAAAGAAAAGAACCTTTTTTGGTGCTATGTAGAACCCTTTTCAAAAAAGCTGAGAAATCTGATTACTGAGCTAAAATCCAGCTCTCTTTGTCAGATTTCTTAATCAGATTTCTAGATCAGACCATTTGAATAATCGCATAACTGCAGAAATCTGATAATGATCGGATTATTGAGTGCATACATACGTTGTTAAAAGTCTCACAACGTTAAAAAGAAAGTTCATTCACCAAAAAAGAACACGCAAGAAAAATATATTTCGAATTTCAGTATGAATTATATTTACTACATTAATGCAAAATTCGGCTCATGATTGAACCCAGGCTGCTGATCTGTGTTACCCCTTCACTCCTCTAGATGACAGTCCAGTTCTGTCTGTGGGACAAGTTTAAAGAACTGGCGTCCCTGTCCAGCAGCTCCTTCAGTAACCTGGTTCAGATGGTGACCCACCTCTTACGCAAGAACTCCCTCTCACTCTCCATCCTGAAGGTAGGCCTTTATTACCCGGGATGTGGGAGTCAGGTTTGGCGGCTGAGGCTCATTGATTGCACCTCATTTAGGTTGTTTTTCCTATTTTTTCTTTGTTGATATATATATATTTTTTCATTTAATTTCATAATAAGCCTTAATGAGGAATAACAAACAGCTCCAGATGGACTTAAGCAGAATTTAAACAATGTTAAAGCAGCTCTTTCGTATTCCAGTCTGGTTATTTATTTATTTATTTAGCATCATTCTGTTGTGGTACTGAAAGCAGGTCTGCTGGGTTGCAGCAATTCCTAGTTGTGCCTTTAATTTAAGAAAAGTTCAGTGCATAACAGATGAAAGTAAATGAGAAGAGGTTACATGACTGTGTCTGTGTGTCCCAGGCTATAGAGTTTGGAGAGCTCGATAAGCCGAAGGTGAAGTTTCTGAAGCAGATCCTCTCCAAACTCTTACAGCAGACCGAGCCTGAGGACCTGGTGCAGATATTTGGCAGGTGAGTTCTGCAGACTACTCAAACGGAAGACCCAAATATTCATCTATGAACAGAGTTGGGTGCTTTCAGGTAGATGACAAGCGGCAAAAACAAATGCATCGCTTTACGCTGGTAGTATATATACACATACACACTATAGAGCAGGATGCTCTGGAGCAGCTGCACATGAGCCTAAGGTCACCATGTCCAGTGCCAAGTCTAGGCTAGAGGGCTATGAAGCCCCCCAGCGCTGAGCTGTGGAGCAGTGGAACTGTGTTCTCTAGTGATGGAGTGATGGAGCACCAACCAATACCTTTGGGATGAGTTTGTGATCCAGAACTGACCATCCAGCATTGATCTCTTTAGTGCTCCTGTTGCTGATTGCTATCAAACCCTCACAGCATTGTTCCAACATGTAGTGTAAAGCCTCCCCTGAAGAGTAGTGGCAGTTCCTACAGCAGAGGGGGACAGAGTCGTTTTTAATACTCTTGATTTTGGAAGAAACATTGGATGAGCAGGTGTCCACAAACTTTTGGCCATATTGTGTGTGTGTGTGTGTGTGTGTGTGTGTGTTTGTTTGTGTGTGTGTTTGTTTGTGTGTGTGTGTGTTTGTTTGTGTGTGTGTTTGTTTGTGTGTGTATATCTGCTGTCGGAATAAAAAAACCTTGTATCTCCAAAATGATAACTTTACTGGAGAAGGAAAAAACATACTTGTATGTATGTATGTATATATATATATATATATATATATATATATATATATATATATATATATACACATACAAGACACAGAAATGCTGTATTATGACTGATATCACTTTTATTAGAGGAATAGAAATGTGTTTCCTATTATAAATCAGCTTCTGTTCTTTTCAAAAACTATCCTGAATTGTTACAAATGAATATTCTGCAGTTTGGGGCAGAGTTGGCTGTTCTTGCTTGCGATTCAGGCCTGTTCTAGAAGTGTTCTTGTAGAAACAGGCGTCCTCAGTGTGTGAGTGAGTCCCTCTCTTTATGTTCCTTAATCAGGATTTCAGGGATTCCAAAGCTGGAGATGCTGCGGGAAGGCCTGAAGCTCTTCATCCGACACTTCCTCCTTCGGAGCGCCCAGACACAAGGGCCAGCTGAGCAGACCACGCTGCTGACCGAGAGGGCGGAGATCGCCACCAAGGCCATGGAGGCCCGAGACGCCAAGCTCAAACTGTAGAGCACACGCAACACACACTGATGTGAGTGCGGCAGTGACTGTGATTGTCTCTTGAACTGCACTGAGTTGAGCTGGAAAAGCCGTCCAGCAGATGGCGCTCTGTCTCTGAGCCAGTGAGCCTCGTGGACTTTCAGACATCCTGAACGAGAGGAAGTTTCTGAGCAGCATGTTTGAAAGCTGCAGTTTTCTGGGAGCCTTTTCTGCTCAGTAGTTTTCTTCCTTGCTTATGTTGTCATTGAGCCTGGTTACTGGCTCAGACTTGCTTGAAAAAGATGGTTCTCCAGGGGTTCTTTAGTGCAGGCAGTGGTTCTGTTCAGGACCATGGGTTCTATATAGAACCATGTCATTCTTAAGTGGTTCTTTGCATGGTGAAATGGTTCTTTAGACTGATGGAGAATGAGTTGTAAATGGTTCTGTATAGCACCAAAAATGGTTCTCTACAGCACCAAAAATGTTCTGCAACTGTAACCTTGTAACAGTAGAAAAACCCTTTTTGGTGCTTTACAAAACCTATATATTTGGTACTATATGGAACCATTTGAAAATGGTTCTATATATCACCAAAAAGGGCTCTGTTGATGCAAGCTTGACATTGTAACAATAGAAAAAACATTTTTGGTGCTATATAGAACCATTTCATGCTTAAATGGTTCTTTGCATGGGGAAATGGTTCTTCAGATTGATGGAGAATGTGTAAATGGTTCCATACAGCACCAAACATGGTTCTTCTACTGTTACAATATCAAGTTTGCAACAACAACTGAACCTTTTTTTGGTGATATATAGGACCATTTTCAGAAAGGTTCTATTTAACACCAAAAAGGGTTTTTCTATTGTTACAAGCTTACAGTAGCAGAACCCTTTTCGAAAATGGTTCTAAAACTAAATATGACACATTCTCCTTCAATCTGAAGAACCATTTCACCATGCAACCATTTAAAGGGCCCATATCACGCAAAAATGACGTTTTCCTGATTTTGGTCAAAGATTTTGATGTAATATGAAAAGAGTGTTTCGAAACACAGTATTGACGTTTTTTGAAACTAAGCTGCCTTTTCAGTTTATTGTCTTTGTGATGTAATAAAAACCAACACACACACACACATATATGTATATATCTTCTTTGGTACTATATAGAACCCTTTTTGCTGAGAGTGTACAGTAACGAAATACAACCCCTTAATTATAAAGAGTGAAGAGGTTAGAAAAGGATTATGTACAAATTAATTATGAATGGTTTTGGTACATAAACGACTCAGATATACGGAGCCCTGCTGGTGACATGCCTGGCCACGACTTAGTAAGGCGTGGGAACAAGATTCTACTGCTCCTAATAATCCATTAGGATCTCATTCCCACACCTTACCAATACATGGCAACGACAAAGTGAGGTGTGGGGATGAGATGATTGTCAGGGCCACAATTTAGTAAGGCATGGGAACGAGATCCTAATGCATGGCCACAATTAAGTAAGGCTTGGGAACGAGATCCTAATGCGTGGCCATGACTTAGTAAGGCGTGATCTCGTTCCCATGCCTTACTAAATCATGGCCACGACTTAATAATCTTGTTCCTACGCCTTACTAAGTCGTGGCCACTCATTATATTTATTTATGTTGTCACCAGCAGGGCTCCATAGAAATATCCTAAATGGACCTCAGTAAAAAAATAAATGAAGTAAATAATAATACAAGAAAACTGTGGGATATGGGCTCTTTATATCTGAGGGTACAGTGTTGACCCTGACTTTCCTATTCTCTAAGAAAATCACAGCATTTTGAACATATTTTTATTATAATATTGTATGAACATTATAATATTTTTCTGATACTCAGACTACAAATCTTAGCTGTATTTATTATAAGGGGAAAAAAAACCTGATGTGGGTTTTATATGTTGTTCATAGAATGGCAGAATGGGCTGTAATTCAGTTCCTCTCAACTGGAGGAAGTTTGTAGATTTATTAGAAGCTTCAAAACATTTTTAATAAACCATTGAACTGATGTTTTCTAACACTGACCGTGTGGCCTGCAGTACTTCATTATTTATCAGAGGGGCCTATCCTGATAGGAGGGACTGAACTGCTTAGTGCTGCATTGCTCAGTTTTGCTTGCAGTGCATATCACAGCATGGAGCTCTGTCCATTAGAGATGATGACTGCTTGGTTAAATAGTTATCTGTCCATCAGCTCTGGAGCCTCATTTTCCAGGCGTGTGTGTTTGTCTTGCACACCTGAGCTCATGAAGGGTTTTAGAAGGACCTGGTGTATTGAATCAGGCGTGTTAGAGCAGTAAAATCAATACTAAATAGTGAAAACAAACAATACTGAGAATAACTGGTCTGTACGGAGCCCCGGAGGGGACGGAGGTAAAAATAGAAATTAATTCGAGGGAATGTTTTGCTGTTCATGCACACATTTTCTTTGATTCGTGGTCACAGTTCCTTAATTCGTTCCAAAGATTAAAAGTTCATTCTCTCATTTTCTTTTAATCGTGCGCACGTATTCCTTACTTACGTGATCAGTTACAGGACTGAACGTTTCTTCCTGTAACTGTGTGATGGTCTCTAACACTGGGCTAAGCAGCTGCTCTGCGGCTTCATTGGTCAGAATCAAACCTGATGATAATCTCTGTCCATTATCACATCAGTCTAACACATCAAAACCTGTCAGACAGTCTCAGGGAGCTCTTAGCGTCCTCTGCACAGGACAAGTGACAAGGCCTGTATGAGTTACATGTATTTTGTTAGCGCTTGAGTCAAAAAAAAAAAAAGTGTTCAATTAAAGAGAAAACATGAGCACGAAATCGTGATCACGAATTTAAAAAAATCCATGCGTATGAATTGCAAAACGTTCACTCGAATTAAGGTTTATTTTTACCTCCGGGGCTCCGTAGGTCTGGCTCTCAGTTCAGTTTAATTAGTAAAGGTGTTGTGTTGTTTGTTTTACTTCAGGTTTGCTTATTTATTCACTTTCACATCCAAATCAAATGGTTACGATGTAAAAAAGTCATTCAGAGTGGTTTGGTGTGAAACGCTCTGTTCTAGAGAAACTTACAGAGTCAGAATTGTTCACAGTGGTGCTGATAGGAACCAGACGTCCACCTCTAAAAGCTCCCTCCCAGAATATTACTACATGAAATGTGAAGTACTAAACGTATTTTAAAACACATTTATAGCAGAGAGGTACATGTAGTACATTACAAGGCAAAATAGTCCACAAAGAAAACTTATTTTTTCAGATTTATGACTATTTTATCATCAACATTACATATAAAAGCTCAGAAGATACATGTAGGTTCACTGATGGTTTTGGATAGTAAAGAAAATGGCTCAAATATTGAATTATACAAACATATATATATGCACTGCTGTGTCTGATCCACTCAAACCAGCACAACACACATTAACACACCACCACCACATCAGTGTTACTCCAGTGCTAAGAACGATCCACCACTCAAATAGTACCTGCTCTGTGAGGGTCCATGGGGGTCCTGACCACTGAAGAACAGGGTAAAAGGGGGCTAACAAAGTACACAGAGAAACAGATGGACTACAGTCTGTAACTGTAGAACTACAAAGTGCACCTATATAGTAAGTGGAGCTGATAAAATGGACAATGAGCATAGAAACAAGGAGGTGGTCAGAATGTTAGGCCTGATCGGTGTGTGTACTTTTCACCTTGAAAATCTTTTTTAAGGTGGACCCTAAAACCACTGTTGTACCTTTGAGGGAACACTTACATTGTTTGTACCTTGATGAATTAAAACATGTACCTGCACAGAACCTTCATTCCTAACAGCGTTGAGTTTCATTCGCTTTTAGCCCAGATAGCAGCGTTGAGTTTGTCTGTGGGGGTGAATTTCTGAACTTGAGGTCATCGACTGCTTCTAGTTGCTTTCTCGTTCACGTCTTGTCAGCAGCAGTTTGTGTTGATCAAATCGGAATGTGAAAAGGAGCCGCCTCTAAACATGAGGCCTCGCCTGTGGCCTGCTTCCATCTGACTGAGGCATTATAATCTGCCGCTGACTCAGTTAGATGGAGGATGCAAACATGCGCCCTACATTCACACCTCAGTGAGGGAGAGAGGGAGCTTTGTGCTGTGGTTGTTTAGCACCGCAGGCCGGTGTTGTGTTCCCTGGACGTGGCCCACGTGCATCGCATAGCGGCGGGCTGCTGCTATATTTGATGCCTGTGCAGAATTAATTAGCAACATTAGCATTACCGACATCAGATCAGTCCGCAGCATGCAGCGGTCAGTGGGCGAGTTCCGGTCAACTGGGGTCAGGCTGCAGAAACATCCCCATCGTCACCCCTCCCAGCAGATTTTAGAGGTGGGATAGTTGTGTTTGCTCAGTTGCTCATTTACTGATGACCGACAAAGGAAATAAATGGAGAAACAACCAGATGAGATACAGTTGAAGGGGAATTCCACCAATTTTTCACTTTTTTTTTGCACAATTGAGTCATTGCGATGTAAACAGAGTGATTCAGAGTGGTTTGGTGTGAAGTGGTTGATTGTACAGACTCAGATGTCTTTACAGTGGTGGTGATAGGAACCAGAGGTCACCATGACTACAACACAAATATAGCCAAACAGACTGATTGATAATGTGCTGGAACCTTTTTGAAAAGGGTTCTATATGGCACCAAAAAGATTCTTCTATTGTGACCATCTCAAGCTGGCTACAATAGCAGAACCCTTTGGTACTACATACAACCATGTACAACACGTTCTTCATCAATCGGAAGAACCATTTAATCATTCAAAGGGTTCTTTGAGTGTTCATGATTCTGCAAAGAACCATTTTCTTTATGAAAGAACCATCTTTTTTTTAAGAATGTAGCACCTAAAAAGGTTCTTTTACTGTAACTAGCATGACATTGTAACAATAGCAGAACAATTTTTGGTGCCATATAGAACCCTTTTTAAGAAGGTTCTGTATAGAACTATGTACAGCACATTCTCCATCAATCTGAAGAACCATTTTACCATGCAAAGAACCATTTAAGCATGCAAAGTGTTCTTTGGGTGTTCGTGATTCTACATAGAACCATTTTCTTTACTAAAGAACCCCTGAGGAACATTGTTGTTGAGTGTGTACTGCAGTTCCATGGAGAACTTTGCTGATATTATTTTAGTTTGGTTGTGTTTGGTTGGCTGTTCCAGTTGTTTCATTGAAGTATCACCTGAGCACAAGAACCTCTGCCTGCACTCGGGTTCTAGCGGCCTGTTTGGTCAGTTCGAAGCTCGCAGACACTGTTTGGATAAGCAGATGCCTTTTTTTCCACCTTGTTTTTGATGGGGTGGCTTATATGCTGCTGCTCCATTGATCACGTCTAATCAGAAGTGTCAGGGCTGGAAGCAGATCAAAAGGGGGAGGTGACGACACATCAGCCTGGCTTTGTTTTTCTCACAGGGTCAGAGAGGGAGGGGGGCCGGGGGGCCGTCCACAGATGGGCCGCATTTCCACTCTCTGACAAAGACAACATTGTCGCCATGTGTGAACACGACCACGTAATGGAAGACCAGCCCACTAAGATACACACAGGTGACCAGAGAGAAAGAGAGGGAGAGTCGCACCTCGGGCTGCTGACCTCGTTCTGACCCT